ACTGACACTGGACAATGAAGGTCTTACGGCAACTTTACATGTATAATTCTTAAATCACATGAATATCAGCCCCTTCAGCTTATTTTACCTCAGGAATAACTTCCTTGACACTATCTAGATTCTAGAGGGTTAGGTTAAGTTAGGTTAGGTGGGTCAGGTTAGGTCAATGGTCATTAGTACACCTCCTCTCACTTGTCTCTGGCAGAAGAAGGATGTGATTTTTGGCCATGAAAACTTCGCCACTGCACTATGCGTGTTAAAAGTGTTAGAGTCTGGGATCTTGGACACTAACTTAAATCCATTCCTCAGTTGTCTTAAGTGAGCCAAACCAGCCCTGCGAAACACTGATTTTAGCGTAGCGTGGTGTTGCTTAAATTTTGAACATGAAATACATCGAAAGGTATTTTAAATCCAATCTACAATGAAAAAAATCAAATTTCGTTATTTTTCCTTTCAAATCTAATTCATTACCTTTGGCAACCTTTGTTCACATTAAGTTGGGAGGGAACGGTTACTCCTCCGTACACACTCACACTACACACCTATATCTCTCTAAGTACGAAGAAAGTAGGTAAGAGATATTAAAAAAGATTAATAACGAAAGAACAGAATATGCCCGCTTCCTAAACTTGTAGGCTCCCTTACACCTAGTTTCCTCTCCATCTGTGTATCTATGTGACTAACTCTCTCGTTGTCTCTACACTAACCTAATCCTCCCAGGTAACTCTAGGGTGATTAATCTTCAGGAAGAAATAAACTGGACTCTCTGGTTTTCAGGTGATCTAATGTGTTTACATTTCAATTATTCGACATAGATTATGTACTTCAGCTCTGTTGTATCACTGGCAGTAGATACTGTGGTGGAATAAGGAGGAAGAGGAGGAGGATGGTGTGGTAGGGTAACGGAGAAGTGGACGCAGTCTAGTGGTTGGAGGTGTATAGAAGAAACAAACTTATTTGTTGTGATAAAAAGAAACAAGAGGTGATGTATGCGTGTTAGTACAGCGGCCCTATTAACATTATAAGTGACCAGATGGATGAACGTACCATTTTATATATATATCATATTCTTAAGGTTAGAGTATAATCTTAACTACAAGAAAAGATCGCAATAATGTGGATATATATTTAGAAAACCAACCACATTGAAAGATGGATATATATATATATATATATATATATATATATATATATATATATATATATATATATATATATATATATATATATATATATATATATATATATATATATATATGTTTGCACTTAAGATGATAATCGTTTGGGTTTTACCGTAAATGTATTTTGAGAAAATCTTATCAGTGTCCAATAATTAGGAAGAAACGTGAATTTACTTGACAGAATGATATCAAGACATATATTTATAGAAGAAATCCTCCCACCTTTTATTCAAATGTTATAAAAGTTTAACCGTAATAAGTTAATCTATTGGGATACAGTTTTAAGTTAACTCGTTTTCAAGTAGACTAAAAATTTAACTGAATTCGAGTTTTGTTTTCGACTTAACAATAACACATTAAAGAGTTACCTTTTGTGGTTAACTATAATAGTTTTGTTATGAAGTTCATATTTAGTCGTGCATCAGATGATTGAAAGTTACCACATGTTTCAGTTCAAAATGTAGCGTTGTTTACTATAATCAAGACCTTTATCATGATTAAAGAAACCTCAAAAATTAAGTGTTATCACCCACAAACCAGCAGTGTTGGCGTACATCCAGCCTACAAAATTTATCTTTAACCGAGAAAAACTCTCCTGTAATTCACATTTTTATTTCATTGTCCGATCATAAAGCCTTTTTCAAACCTCATAGGCCTCCTTCTGCATTGTGAATGGTCACACAATATTGTAGACGGGTTAGTGGCGCACACAAGGCCAACGTTGTGCTTGTCTCCAGGGAACGATGTTTGGTGTGACTAATCGTGCAGTAATTTGTGAGGGCGATGTGTTGTGGGCGGGAAAGGGCGTTATGGCAGGCCATAGTATGTGGGAGGTTTTATTTTACTGTACAGTACGTACTTAGTAGTAAGTAGAATGGCATTATTATTATTATTATTATTATTATTATTATTATTATTATTATTATTATTATTAATTGCTTGTAGTAGTAGTAGTAGAAAATAACATTATCATCTTCGTCCATCACTTTTAGTATCAACATTGACAATTTTTAAAGGTATTTTTACGACTTAGTGGAATATCTCGTATAATGTTCAGTGATATTGTGACAGTGGTGATCCTATACCTGAACTGGAAGACCAGTTAATATTAGATGCGTCCTGGGCTCCTTAATCACGATATCAGTCGCATAAAGAACCGTGGCTCTACTTTGTTGAGATATAAAACTATCCAGAACAGTAATTTTACCAGAGAACTTATGATCTAGACACGCGCTGTGTAGTTTCAGTAGTTATAGTTACCCGCACCAACACCGGTGTAGAACAAGGACATAGATCCACTGATGACTAGAGAATGTATATTGACGTATGTTGATCATCCTGAACTGTCAATGGACATCCTGAACTCGTTATAATATATGGCTATCAAAAGGGACCTGCAAATAGATTAACCAGCGTTGCCTGTGTAACTGGTTTAGCAAAGCATAACCAACAACTGCACGAAGGACGTTACTATCTGTTTCCAGTGTACGTATATTTGTATGTGTTGTGTCTGATTTTATCACAAATAATTACAGTTTAGCGCTGCCCTCATTCGTTATAGAGGTCTTTGGTCCTCTCCTGGAGTTAATGATGAAAATCCACAATACAGGCAGAAGTTACAAGACAACACTCAGGATTCCCGATACCGGCCATCTTTGTTTACATTCTCTCTACCAATGAGAGCATCGTACCCATGTATTCTCGTACCCAATTACCACTCTCCTCGTGTAAACTAAAAAATTCAAAATAGCTCTCAATCTGACACGCTACCTCTTTTTTATATGACTAATTTCAGTAAATTAAAGTGACTCCCCCACCCCCTTCCACCACTGACAGCCAACCAGTACCATGCGTAAAAAAAAAAAAAAAAAAAAACTATGCGTGTTATTAATGTGGAGAGCGACTTGTTTATTTCGCAAGTCTACAGGTCTCCACTCCGCCGCCTCAGATTGAACGCGCGCTCATTAGGTAAATACTAGTTCAGGCACAATAAAGCACGGAGGTCTGAATAATGGTCATTGCGGAATGGCAGAGAATATCTGTCCTTGTTGTTGGACTTAGAATTGACAAAGGAAAATGGGAAAGCAAAGTATGACGTGTTCTTGTGGGATTGAATTCACTTTCACGCAGTACTATAAGTGTCGTTATGCTGTTGTCACAAGTCATATTAAGATTGAACATTGATAAGAGGAAACGTATAATCTATCTGAGACCATATCTCAAGGCTGTTTGTATAGTAGTTAACAGATAAATGAAGAAACAGCACACACACACACACGTATATATAGGCCTATGAACATATAATATTTATCAAAAGACTCATAGTAAGAACAATAAACAAGCATAACTAATGAACATAATTATATAAAGATATAAAGACTAGACGTACAGAAGAAAAACAAAAGATAAGAAGCCAACAGGAAAGGTTTTCGACAATACTGCCTAAAAAGTATGATTATTATCCAACCAGGAACTACTTTCGCTCATGTTACTTGAGAGCTGCGAGCAAATCCACTTCCGCAAGATGGCTTTGAATTTGTGTTGCGTAGGCTCCTTCTCTTTGCCGAAAATTGTGGTCTTTATCAACCATTTCCTTACCTTACAGTGACACAGTGACACAAAGACTTATCGTGTCACAAAGACTTACCGTGACACAAAGAATTACCGTGTCACAAAGACTTACCGTGTCACAAAGACTTTTACCGTGTCATAAAGACTCTTACTGTGTCACAAAGACTCTTTAACTGAAATAAAGATCAATACATAACGGAGAAAAATCCTGCAGTAAATCCAAGATGCCAATTAAGAGGACAATATATCTCCAATTCACGACAAAATGCCTTGTTGAAACAGATTAAGTCATGATGGTAATAAACTCGGTAAAACTATCGTTTCGGTCATCCACCTATTTGAAATGAAGGTCAAAATCGTTCAAAACACATGAAAAACCATGAGACAAACTAACTTTCAACCTAACCTAACCTAACCTAACCTAACCTAACCTTAACCTCGTTGGATGACCGATGCGATAATAATACCATAAAATCTCTACATAACATTTCCAATTCTTCTGGATCTTTTCCGCCAGTACACTTCATGGTAGTGGTTCAGAACAACACTACACCACACCGTTTCAGTTCCCAGAGATTTCGTATTAAAACTCTCACCAAGTTACGTACCCATGACACACACGCCCTTTGATCGTCATTCACAACATGCAACTTCGTTCTTATTAAATCAGTGAAAATTCCACACGACAGAGTTGCGGATTGACACCCATTCTTGGCTCTATATTCTCTTGAAACACAGATGAGGCGAGTTAGGGTTAGATCTCTTATATATTCTGAACTTGTTGATGTGGCTGTAAAATATCTGCCATGTTCACCACGGACACATACCTACTACAAGGCACTACGTCGCTCCCACACTTAGCTAGGATCAGAGCCAGTTGTCAGTGCTCCAGACGACGGAGGCTGTATTCTAACTTATCATTACTCGTGTTCCAGACCACAGTGATAATATCCACACACCACTGATCGTGTTTCTTGTCGGGTCTGGTCTGATCTGGTCCAGGTCCTTCGTTTGTGTTCCAGACTCGAATGTTGTGCTGTGTGTGGCGATGCTGGTCTTTGTGTGTCTAGCGATGTGTACGTGTAAGTTTATTTGAAAGAGTACAGTACTTGTGCATGTGTAGCCTCCAGCCCAAGACAAGCCTTCAGTAGGACGCCAATTTCTATTCCACTGTACTTGGAGTGGCAGATAACACCGTGAAGTAACAGTGTTTTACTTTTTTCTTACAAGTGTCTTACCAGTGGATGGTCAATTGACGGTTGTGTTACTGTTGCTGATACTGACGTAACTCTTCCCAACACTGACGTAACTCTTCCCAACACTGACGTAACTCTTCCCAACACTGACGTAACTCTTCCCAACACTGACGTAACTCTTCCCAACACGGACGTAACTCCTCCCAACACTGACGTAACTCTTCCCAACACTGACGTAACTCTTCTCAACATTGACGTAACTCTTCCCAACACTGGCGTAGCTCACTGACGTAACTCTTCCCAACACTGACGTAACTCTTCCCAACACTGACGTAACTCTTCCCAACACTGACATAACTCTTCCCAACACTGCCGTAACTCTTCCCAACACTGACGTAACTCTTCCCAACACTGACGTACTTCCCAACATTGACGTAACTCTTCCCAACACTGACGTAACTCTTTCAACATTGACGTAACTCTTCCCAACACTGGCGTAGTCACCGCAATTTTTCCAACACGACGCAATCTTCCCAACACTGACGTACGCCAACTCTTCCTAACACTGACGACGTAATAAACAATCTTCCCAACATTGACGTAACTTTCCCAACACTGACGTAACTCTTCTCAACATTGACGTAACTCTTCCCAACACTGCGCTGACGTAATTTCTTCCCAACACTGACGTAACTCTTCCCCAACACTGACGTAACTTCTTCCAAACATTCACGTAACTCTTCCCAACACTGACGTGTAATCTTCCCAACACTGTGCCTGTAACTCTTCCCAACACTGACGTAACTCTTCCCAACACTGACGTAACTCTTCCCAACACTGACGTAACTCTTCCCAACACTGACGTAACTCTTCCCAACACTGACATAACTCTTCCCAACACTGACGTAACTCTTCTCAACACTGACGTAACTCTTCCCAACACTGACATAACTCTTCCCAACACTGACGTAACTCTTCCCAACACTGACGTAACTCTTCCCAACACTGACGTAACTCTTCCCAACACTGACGTAACTCTTCCCAACACTGACATAACTCTTCCCAACACTGCCGTAACTCTTCCCAACACTGACGTAGCTCTTCCCAACACTGACGTAACTCTTCCCAACACTGCCGTAACTCTTCCCAACACTGACGTAACTCTTCCCAACACTGACGTAACTCTTCTCAACACTGACGTAACTCTTCCCAACACTGACGTAACTCTTCCCAACACTGACGTAACTCTTCCCAACACTGACGTAACTTTTCCCAACACTGACGTAACTTTTCCCAACACTGACGTAACTTTTCCCAACACTGACGTAACTTTTCCCAACACTGACGTAACTTTTCCCAACACTGACGTAACTTCTTCGACTGGACGTAACTCTTCCTAACACTGCCGTAACTCTTCCCAACACCGACGTAATCCTTCCCCAACACTGACGTAATTCTTCTCAACACTGACGTAACTCTCCCAACACTGGACGTAATTCTTCCCCTAACACTGACGTAACTCTTCCTAACACTGACGTAATTTTCCAACACTGACGTAACTCTTCCCAACACTGACGTAACTCTTCCCAACACTGACGTAACTCTTCCCAACACTGACATAACTCTTCTCAACACGGACGTAACTCTTCCCAACACTGACGTAACTCTTCCCTCATTAGAGTACTGTTCCATGTTTCTTCCTTTACATGTATAATCAATAAATTGTTTTGCTTACGGGATCTAGTATTCATGCCATCCTACATTAAATTAGCTTTACTGTAAACACCATTTATTTTACATACGTGAAGTGTTGTCCTCTCTCTACCTGAAGACTTATAATCCAATAGTGTTTGATTAAAGATAATTCTCAGGTAGTCTCTCCCTTTCCCCGTATCCATTACACAACCCTCGTTACCCTAATTGTCCAATTACACCAAACATGAAACACATCCTGGCTCTTCCTAATCACTCATTACTTACAGTCAGGATATACCTTCCAGAATATGACTATATTAATCTAAATGGATATAACCTTTTTGGGGATTTTATCGTTCATTTTGAGTCATGATCGTCAAGGGTATTTAAAGGAAGTGAGAGAATCAAGAGAATTAGGGGATAGAACACACGCTTTTTATGAGATTGGAAAACAAAACAAAAAACTAATATACAAATAAATTTAAACTTCCATCATAGTTAAAGATTTTTTTGAGCTTAAGGCTGACCACAAATCATTTAGTCATGTAGTCCCCGACATGACTGTAAACAGACCATACCACCATGTTTTGTATAATATTTTTAACTTCACATTCGTGGTATTATCCTCGTACTTTTTTTGTTTCTACGATGCTGCTATTATTTGGAATCTGAATACTAAAACAAATAGTCAATAAAGATATCGCAAAGCAATATACAAATATTCTTAGCTTGCAATGACGTCACGACTCCCATAATCCTTTGCGCGGTCCACCATCTTGTAGGCATAGACGCGTTGCATTATGGGAGTATGTGACGTCATGTAAAAACTAAGATTGTCTAGTTTTCTGGTCTCTCGAGTGAATTTAATTTCTATGAATCTGTGTAACTTTTGTTCTCTCAGTCACTGGCCAGGCAGAAGGTGACGTCTGTTTTGGAATATAAACAATGCATGTATTTATGAGTGTATACAGCATATGCTTGGTATGTACTGTATGTACGTATATACAGTATTTATCCCTGCGCGTATGATTTTTTTAGGCCTACTGACTAATGTGAGATAAAACGGACGAGGCGAAGACTTATTATATACGCGCATATATACATATCTACATACATACATACATTCAAAATTGTTTTAGGAAAACAAATATCCCAGGCAGTTCAGAAATATTTCTAATCCTATTATGCTAAGACCTCAACACTGTTTCTCAAGGTAATGTCTGAAACAATTATCATGACCAGAATACAAAGTAAATTATAGTATATTAATTAATATTAGACCTAAACCATGACTATTTCTTTATGGTTAATCACTAGGAGTTGTGACAGCTTGGGTGAGTTGCCACCTCATGAGAGACGGGTAAAGAGGAAAGTTTTTGAGTTCATCGTCAGTCTGGAGTTGTTGGAGCCTCAGGCATGATTGAAGGACGAGAATGCGTTTCGTTCTTGTGAAGTTGAAGGATCAGTCATAGAAGGTGTAGTGGAGAAGGTTAATTCTCCACAGCCTGTTTGGAGGATGACCTATATGTATGACACGAAAGCTGAGGGGGTGATAATTACTGGATGACAGAATGTACGAGAAATTAGGGATAATAAATGATAATGAAGGATCATATCAATTTGAGACTTTTAGCAAATTTGCATTCTAAGTATTGTCACTACCGACCTCCAGTGGTGACGCTGAACGGCATTTATCAAGTTTAAATATAACTTAAAAAAAAACAAGGATTCGACTTTCAGATACCATCCACTAATGCTCTTAACTGCAGTGTCTGTAGCTGTAGAATTGAAAGGTTGTTGTGTGAGACTTAAATTAACTCTGGTATAGTTTAGGAAATTATAGTACAAAAGCGAAAAGGTGTTGTTTGTTAGATGTGTTTCCTTGTTGCTGGTGTTTGGTGTTATTAACTTTTGTATGAAATAAAACAAAACATGATAACGAAAAAAAAGTCTATTTCCAACAAAGATGTGAGAATTTTATGTTTGTGTCAGGTATAGAGATAACTGGCGGGTGTTAATGGTATAGGCTACGCTACTTTACATTAAGTCATTCGGTAAAAGTATTCAAATACTTCCTGAAGTATACAATTTAACTATAAACGTGTATGTAGCTTATAAATGGAATAACGAAAAACACATATTAGTTATACCAAGACCACATTTCTAACTAAATATCAAGATCAGTCAGAAAGACGTGTAGAATTGTGACGCCGTACACAAGTGTGGAATGTCGGCATTCACTGTAATTGTTTCCATCGCAGACAGAGGGCAGCAGCGCATTGGATTCCTCACCGTCCCGTGCTCACGTCTTTTTATGGCTTCTTATAATCTTCATAAGGATCGAGTGGTGCTGTGGTTGAGTCTAATGGTGCAGGAGTGTTCAGTGACCACTTTAGTAAAGTGTTGTGCTAATATTTAGTGTCGGTGAATAGTTACTAGTGAATCTTTCAAAGTTCCGGCGAACTGATACTAGCTAGAACTGGTTGCACATGTCCTTCTGGCTTCAACACTTATGGACAGAGTACTCTAAGGTCAAAATGGCTCCCCTTCATCAGTTGGTGAGAGAGCCACGACTTTGATGACATTCTTGCCCAGGCGTCTCCTCACTAATCACCGCTGCCTTGCTCACTAGTTACTCCAGGACCAGACCCGTGTTGGGCGACAGTCACTGACAGTATTGTGAGTGAATCCGTGTGTTGGAGCTGTGCTTGTGTGGTGTAGGCATATACAGTGTAAGGACTAAGGCATGGCAGATGTCTTCCGGCTACCCGCCTACTACTGTAGGAACGTGACTCGACCTCGTCAGATTCCTCTCCATGGATGCCGCTCGTCCAGGTAAGACCTACCCAATGGTGTTCAGCTATGCCAGCATTTATGTGTCACTGTGTGCATAATTAATGACACGAGGGATTGCCTCTCTAATGTCTCAGGGAACTTATCATGTGGTCCGGAGACCCGTCTGATGGTCCAGGGTGTTGTTTAGTGGGCCTGGTGGCCCCGAGACCTATCTGGTGGGCCCAGTGACATTTTGTGGGTCGGAAATTGTCTGGTAACCTGAAGGAGTCTCACATAACTTTTTTTTTAATTTAAACGAGCACAATGATGTTCACTTGGGATCATATTCTTACGCCCGTATTATTAAACATCTTCCCTTGAAGAGGGTCGTCGTGTTTCAACCCGAGTTTTAAACTAAACGAGCCCTGAGGGACACCGCAGCGCTGTACTAAACGGGGTGGTGTGGCAGTAAAATTAACTAATTCCAATATTAATACATCAATATATATAAGAAAATTCCATTAAATCTACCCAAAATAACTGCTGCATAGGACAGAAAACAATCAAAACACCTAGTTTACATGATTATAATACTAAATTATGCCTCGTCATAACAGTATATATATACTGTATAAGAGAAATTTTACGAAGATATTAAACAAAATATTGTTCATATCTCTCAGTTTGGAAATGTAGATATAGTTATATCAAGTGTGTTTTATTCTGTATGTGTTAGATGAAACTTGGCTTGTCTCGCCTCACACACAATCTCATCAGCCCCACCTCACTGGCCCCTCCTCAACTGCCCTTCCTCGCCAGTGCCTCCTCACCAGCTCCTCCTCATCAGTGCCTCCTCACCAGCTCCTCCTCACCAGTGCCTCATCACCAGCTCCTCCTCACCAGCCCCTCCTCACCAGCCCCTCCCCACCAGTCTCTCCTCACCAGCCCCTCCTCACCAGCCCCTCCTCACCAGCCCCTCTCGTCAAACGGATCCATATCTGGGTATGGGGGCTTATACCCAGAGTACAGGTGACTTGGGTTAGGGAAGTGACATTTTCTTCTGAACGGCTCGAAAGCAACAGACGATCAAACGAGAACCGCTCTTCCCAGCTGTGCTATATTTCACGTTAAAGGATTGATATTAATATACATTGGTAAAGGCTCAACGCATACAAAAAAATCCCCTGAGACTCAATTTGGGAACGTACTTAGTGTGATGAAAATCGTTTTGTTTCCCCCCCGCGATGTTGCTCCGTCCCCCTGAAAAAGAAACTGGTGTAGCATTTTTATACCGTGGGAACCTAACCTACTGCCAGAAAGGATTGTACAACGCTTCAGAAAATGAATGTAGATCGGATTAAAAAATTGAAACCATAAACAATGGTCACCAGGCTATCCTACCCGTTATTTTTACTGTACAGGTATATGAAAAAAAAAAAACACGGAACCAGACTAGCAGGGAGAAGAGAAATATACCCAAATAATCTTTACTTCTTACTCTGGTGACAATAAAAAACAAAAACGAAAAGGTAAATATAATAAAGTTAATGCATTTGTAACCATATATTTCATAAAATACGTAACAAGAGGAGAATTGGTATACAGTAAAGCATAAATGTGTGTGTCAATCATCAGCGTACCTCTAAGACCATGAAAACTGGTGACTTGAAACTTTGTATGCATCTTACGGGGACACTGATATTATGTACCTGGGTTTTATTTTTTTTAATTTGGCTGAAAGAAAATTTATGGAAGAGTACCGGGAACCGTACAGTACGACAACATTTCCCTCGCCGTCAACACCCCTTACCGACCTGTCAGACGTAAGAACACCTCATCACACCCGCACCAGTACTTACCTAACACACACACAAAAAAATATCCACCTACTCTCTCAATGATTTACAAACATCTCACCTACTCATCTCAATGATTTACAAACATATCTTGAAATTACCTGTTTGTTTACATTAGCTACCTGGACCAGCTGAGTCAATGTTGGTCACTTAAGGTTCAGTATCTTGGAGGCATTAAAGGTTATCTGTGTTAACCCACGAGGCTAATGTTGACGATTAAAATCCGGCGACGCGATATTTGTTTTGATGTTTATATTCTTTGTATATTTTCATCGGTGAGTTCTGATATTTTTGGGGGAATTTGCTTCTGGCCAGCTTGAATAATTTGAACCAGATGGAAGTGAATTATATTACGAAGGTGTGAGTCAGTCAGTAAGCCTCCCTACCTTGAAAAGTGAGTCACGAGACCTGTAGATACAACCCTCTTAAAACTAAATGTTCGGTATACAAGGTCGACATTGCTCTCAAACGCTTTTCACTTTCCAAGCAGTAAAGTCAGGAATCTTTTCTACAACTGGGTCGAATGGGGGCGATTCAGTCAGCGGCCAGCCTGTGGGCGTGAACCAGCGACAGTTGGATCAGGGGACGAATGTGTGTAATCTAACGGAGTTGGGTTTTTATTGC